CTTTACAGAATCGTCGAAGAAGACTCGCCAACCATGTCTCAACCAGTCTATCAGATAGTAGTAACTGCTGATGAGGACAAAACCACAGCCTCGAAGCGACGTGCTATCTACCTCCGTCCATTTCTCCTCTTCTGGCTCAATTCCCTTGTCTTCGAACTTGCAATGCTCATAGTCAGCATCGCTGCCTTTTCAGGATGGCGCAGTATGTTCCCTAAGTTCATGTGGACCATCGTGTTTTGCCCTCTGGGCATGGGAGGCGCCATGGGAGGCCTCATCAACGCCTTCATTGTCGATCGCATCTACGGAAAGCGAGCAGTCCATTTCATCGCAATCCTGAGCGTCCTGGTTCTAGGAGCGTGTAACAACCTATGTTATAACTTGGATCTCGTGTTCGGATGGTTTGGTGCTCAGGACCATTTCTGGTGGTGGCACTGGCGGTATCTGGGGGTTTGGTTTGTTGGGTACTTCAACGGCAGGATGATGTTCACGGATGAAGGACAAAAGTCACTTGCTGATTTGGGTGTTTAAAACTCGAGTGGATTTGAGAGATCGTTTGTTATTTATGTGTTGTCTTGTTCACGAAAGATCTAAGACAGGTGTTATCTTTCATATAGCCACAACTATTCAAAGAGAGTTGGTTATTGCGGAATAATATACATCCAAAGGACTTTTATGAACACACTTGATATACCTAGGTACATGTGGGAGTGCACGTTCAATTCATTCCATCACTAACCTATCTTGTCTACTGGGATCAGAGTCCAAGATACAGAATTTGCGCAAGAAATCCGAGAATCAAACCTAAGTAGCGATAGTAATGTGCAATTTGTTTTAGCCATATGGTATCTTTCGTTTGAAGCCGAAATTCAAACTACAAGTCATTTGGGGTCAGGTCAGAGTACGTATTTTTGTCTAATATTTTATAATACTGAACATTAATCATTAAACTCTATCACGTCATTAATCTCGTGAGATCGGGAGATCTACCACACCGGCAGCTAACGTACAGCCCCCAAAGAATAAGATATTAACATCAAATCATCGCCACGTTCAGCACATGCGATCAACGCCGAGCCAGCGCTTTAAGAACTCAGAGCCTGGTGATACTGTCGGTGCAATCGGCCAGGTTGTTCTTATCATTTCCAAACAGTGCCATTTTTTCCATGCTACTCCGCGTCAGTAATCGAGCATACATACAGTTTTCTCATCATGGAGTAACTCACGCGTTGGTAAAGCTGCTGCTCCACTTATTCTGCTGTCCGATGAAGCCCTGGAACTTCTTTCCGATGTCTCCAGAGGTAGAGGTGGAGATCTTGGAGTCCGACGGGAACACAAAGACGCCCGGTGCAGCAGTGCCCTTAGTCGCGAAGTCGTATGTCTCCTTGTAGTAGCTGACGTCCCATTTTCCAGGCCTAGTAGTGAATGATCAGCATTTGTATAACGATGTTGAATTTCATGACATGATGAGGCGACTTACGTTGAGTCTTGGGACGCGTTGGCTTTGGTCGTATCGACAAAGTTTTGCGTCGAGGTGCTGTGAGCCCCCAGAAGCGCAGCAAGAGCCTCAGCGTCAAGGCCCTTCTTCTGGAAGAGTGCAACGAGCACGTCGGCGGAGGCAAAGACGTCGGGCAAGCCACCATTCTTGGCAGATGTGGTGCTGTCCGCACGGCCGATGAAGGTCTTCACCTTGGGCCCACCGGGGCAGAGGAAGATTGCGGCATCTGAGGTGTGGGAGATCAGTAAAATTAATACTTCCCACGTGGCTTTCCTGATTTCATAGTGAGACTTACTTCCAGCGAAGACAATCATGTCCGCAACGGTAGTGTTGTACTTGGTTGCAAGACCCTGTAGAACACCGGCAATTTTCTGCAGGCCCCTGTTCTCGCTCCTGTTGAGTTCGACATCAGGGTTGACACCGACAATTAGCGAGCCGTCGCAGCCACCGTTGAGGCCTTGGGAGGTGTCCCAGGAGCCACAGTCATGGAAGATTGCGCGGATGGATGCGCGTGCGAGATCGTTGCACTGAGGACCACTCATGAAGAGAGAGTTGAGCTCAGTGTTGACTTGCTTCCAGACTGCTGGGCACTTGGCTCCGCCGCGAGTGTCAAGATCCTTTGCGACGACGGCACCAGAAGAGGCATCTTCAGCGTGGGGGAGAACTGCGGCATTGGCGAGTGCCAAGAGGCCAGCGAGAAGGAGGCTTGAAGCGTGCATTACGAAAGAAAGATGGGGCGATGATGCGGTCGACGGGAAGGAAGACGTGCAGTGTCTTGGCAGTGGTTGCTGTGGAAGATGCTGAGAGAGGATGCCAAGAAGTCAGAATTCTTAATGTGAATACACCATCTTTATAGATGTGAAGAACGACTCAAAATCTCTGCTCTTCTCAGACATTCTCACTTTCTCGCATGCACTTTCGATCCGATCCAGACGCATCAGAAAGTCCGGCGGCAAGGTCAAGCCATCATGTCGGCCCCGGTGGTATGGTTACCCCATGGGCAAGCCGAAGGCACTTGGACTGTCATCGCTGCTGACATGCCTCTTAGCCAGGCTTCATTGTACTGCAAAGTGTTGTAAATCGGGTGTTGTCAACAGCCTGGGAAGCTTACGGAATCCGAAGTCTCTAGCGTCTAACGGCATGCGAAACGGACATTGTATTCTCGGTGGCGGCTGAGCAGGTCCGGCAGAGCTAAAGCTATTAGTGCGCTTACACATTGACGCCAAAGGTATCTCGAACCAATGAGAGAGGCACCATTTCCAAAAGGAAAGTAGTTTGAAGGTAAAGAGAGCCGCATGGACATGGACAAAGAAGCACAAAAGGGGAAGGGGTCGATCGTGAAACACAGGAACAGAGCGCATCCAGTGCCATGGGTCCTGAGACCTTTCATTCTCTATCAATTCCACTAAGGCTGTACTGCAGATACTATATCTATTCGCCGTATATGCCAGTAGAAGAATCCACGTGCAACAAGTGGTTGCGTGAGTAAAACGGGATCAAGCCGCAGCCGAGTCCTGACCAGACCACCGGGTAAATCACAGGTCTTGACGCTTAATTATCAAGATTCAACGGCTCCGTGTAGCGCTGATATCAGTCAGTCAATGAAGTTCAGTCGGCGATTATGTCAACAGCCTTCGGCCAAAGTCTATCGTTGATAGTCTGCCCTTCAGACCAGCCATACGGCGTCAACCACCGACTTTCAGATGAGAACCCAAGCTCCTCATGTGAAAAGAGTTCAAGTCTCCCATACTGATCGTCTAGAGGTAAGCTGACATGCGCATTTGCAGTGTGACTTTCACGGCCAGCATGTCGGGTAAGACAGGGTCTAATACGGCGCCTTGGCCAAGTACCTAATCTGCGGGCCAGACATCGACCTGCGTAACACACAGCTCGACCGGCGAGGGGTTCCAGAACTCTTTACCCCAGTTGCATGCGCACTGATTCCACAGAGGCCCAGTGCCTCGCACCAAACCACAGGCTTTGGCCAGTCTATTCACGATCCGAAAGACGTCTCTGGAGGTGCAGACTGGGCACGGGCGCTACGCACCATTTCTCGGCCGATGTCTGCAGCGTCATGCAGATTCAAGGCCCCATGATTGGCTGCTTTCGTCCGAAGCCATGGTCTGGACCCCCATTGCATTGCAATTCACCTCAACCTCCTTCCATGCATGGCCAAAGCGTGGAGTACCTAGCTGTTCAGGAGCAGCACGAAATACCAGCCACGCGGTTTGCAATCAATCTTTTGCAATGTAGAGAGGTAAGAAATGGAGTAGGGGCGAGGTTGCATAAGTCTGGCGGTGTTCACCTTAGAATTCAGCTCGCAGTAGATTGCGAGGCTCGTAGCTCGAGGCCGGAGCATTGTGACGAGACAGGATATGGGTCGGAGTTCACTGCTTCCCTGGCCCCCTAAAATCCACCGCTATGAAGATTACTCGACCTTGCGTTGGATTATTAGAGAAGGAGAATTTCACGCTGCGTTCCACAGAGAGTTTGTCCATCCGTCATGGTATTCTGGGATGGTTCATCTACATTGCCCACGAGTCAGTGATCAAGGGATCCAGAAGCTGAAGGGGTACTCGAGACAGGCGTTCCAGTATCACAGAAACAACTGCGAGAATTGGAGGAAATGGGTCTCAGCAGGTTTAACAGAGCTACCAAGGAAGAGAAAGATCTTCCATTCTCATATGCAGGACGGCTAATGAAAACGAGAAGTCGATTGATTGAGATCGGAATCATCAGATATGCGCATTGAGGTCTGACAGCCGCATTCGAGGCCACCTTGGTATTTGACAGCTTCTCACACGAGAGGCCTCGACAGGGAGTCGGAGCTTTTCAAGACGCCCTACCTCGACATCAGTGGACTACAACCAGCGATCATTGCGTTGATATTCAGAGGCTGTTCGCTGAACAGAACATAGAATCATCCGCGTTTGCTATGTCTTTCATATCTCTTTCAGTGCGACGTAGTGGCCTGCATATGTTCGTATTTTCTTTGTAGTGGAAGAGAGGCACAGGGAAGACCGGGACCAGCTAATTCAAAGGGAAAGGTGGGCGAAGTTTGCTACGATCAAAGCAATCCAGGGATCCTTGTTTTAAGAACAATACATACTATTCAGTGCTCAGTCAAAGAGTTGGTTAAAGCCTCTTATTGGACGACAGGAAACCAAGAACGCTGTTCACATTCGTGAATTTTGGTATTCGCAGCCCTGGTTGTGGAAAGCTTCAAGCAAAGAGCACTTAAGGATGGAGCCGTGCCGACTGTTGAATGCGAAGCCACTTACTGCCTATTGGATGCCTTATCCGAGTCACTTCATACCTGGACACTCTTTAACAACTCCTGAATCTGTCTCGTACCATTGACTGTGCCTGTGTTCCTCAGGAGGTCGTTCTAGCTTGTTGTCTGGCTCTGATCTGAGCGGTGCACGTCCGCCATCAATCTCTCCGCCTAGCAGTCAGCTCGGTTATCGGCATAGCTGTCTTTTACTCTTCCTTATGAATCTCCACCATGGACTCAACACACTACAACCCGAGAGATAGCCCTTTTGTTACAATTGTAAGTAATATGGAATGGATTGGCATTCGAAATGACACCAATTTTGACATTTTCAGCTCGATGTCCCTAAATTCGGAACACTTTACTACAAGATTGGAGAAGACAATCCCACAGAAAGTCGGAGCACTTCCGAAGTTGTGGACCTAGCCGTGACAATTATGGGAAACCGCTTTTACAACCTCGATCGGAAAAGGGATGGCAAGGACGTGAATCCTGACTCTGAACTAAAACAGAAGTTCTGTCAGGTCATTGCAATGATCAAAGACAAAATTCCCAGGGAGAAACTTTTCGTGTCACTTAAAGTTCAAGTACCGGAACAGGAAGCCCTAGAGGCGGGGGAGAAATCCCAAGAGGCGGAGGAGAAATCCCAAGAGGCGAAGGCGAAAGTCGTGACACTTGAAGTCCAAGACTCGAAGGAGAAAGCTAAAATCCTCGAAAAGAAAGTCCTTAAGTTCTTGAATAAGTTCTTGACTGAGTCCTTGGCCTCAATGAAGCTCGAAAGCGTAGACCTGTAAGAAGTCCCCCTCTCTATATCAATCACCACGTTTGAAAGCCAACTCACGTGCGCTATGCTGATATCAGTGCTAGTATTATTCTGCATGATGAGAACCGCACTTCCGAAACAGCCGAGATTGTTTGGAAGAAGCTGATAGAAGAGGTCACAGCCCAGAAAGATGGAAAAGGAAGAGCCCAGTTTCTTGGAGTCAGACCTTGGAGCAGTCAAAATGATACTTTTGTGCTCGTCGAAGCACTCCAAACCCCAGCCGTCTATCACCAACAAGCCTTAGTCTTGCCCAATTATCCCGACCTGAAGTCCTGGATGGAGGCACGTAAACACACCAAGTCCAGCTTTGTGCGGCTTGCTAAAGTACCCAAAACAAAGATCACAGTCCACAATCAGAAGAGTACATGGCCATTCGAGTTGGTGACAATGGACACGGCAAATGTCCTCACTGCGCTGCACGGGAAATCATGGCCAAGTACAATGATTCTCGCCTGGCATATGGCGCATGATGAAGAGATTCGACAAGCTGTAGAAGACTTGCAGATGCTAGATCGTCAACAGGAACGTGGAAATCATCCAATGCCGGTCTCAAGATCGGTGATAGGGTTGGAGGCCGGAGAGGCGGCAGGAAAGAAAGAACGCGAAGAAGAGAGCGGAACAGGGAGCAAGAAAAAGATCGATGTTAGCAGGTATAAGGATGCAATGAAGGTTTCGTTATCGTCTTACCACCAGGGGGCAATCAAGATGATACTTGATAACTACTTCAAAAGGGGTTGACGTCTTTTGTCAACTACCTAACGTTTACGGACAGTAAGTACCCACTACTTTACTGACGTTGTCTTGCAGTTGATGGGATAAGTACTCAAATTATCTAGAAATCCGAAGTAGTAATCTGTTTCTCACGACATTAGAAGTGGATTAGTGTTGTTAAACCTCCGCGTACCTAGTCTAATCTTCGCGTGACCGTCTTGGTTTTCTATGGCTTTCCACAATTGATTTTCTTCTACAAACCTTTGAGCACGGGCTCGGTTGAAACATGTCGGTTATACATACTCACGTAAAAATTTCCAATGAGGATATGGTTGAAATAGACAGGCAAAAGTTCGACTTGTGACAGCGCATAAAGCTGAGAAGACTGCTTGAAACCAGCTGGTCAAGGAGGAGTACTTTGTGTGACCACTAAACTCGAGCTATCGAAGAACCGATGCTGGACAAAGCCAGTCACTCAGAGACATCCGAAATCAGTTGTATTTGGGCAAATATACCGTCTTTTACGATAGCTTGTCCGGTTCCCACGTGATTGCAAATATACCACCGCCTGCAGACAACTGATGGGGAGTTTCAGAGCCCAACACTCTAGTCACATGCGCATTGACGCCCCAGACTCCAGACTTTGTCAGTCTTCTCCAAGACCCGGATTTCGTTTGAAGTATTATAGGGCGCGCGCTGCGGATCATTCCCAGCCGTGATCCATAGCGTCGTGGAGAATTGAATCACCGTGGTTGGCTCACCGGTCTAGACCTTAACCGCGGTACCACCACGTGCAACGCACGAACACAATTCGACCTTCATCCCGCTGCATTTGACCAACCTCGTAGGTTTATCAAGAGTGTATGTATGAGGTGAGTCATTGCATTACAAGGGAATAATGATCAGGGTGTCGCAGCATCAATACTAAGCGGTATTGTCTTGGCAAGAGAGTGTAAAATTAGGTAGGTAGTTTGCATAAATCTGGACAATTTGGCAACAGTTAATCAACTGGAGCCGCAAAATACTTCCAAAGTTCCGTTTCCCAAATAACTTGTCTTAATCGAGAAAGTAATCTAACTTGATTCTTATTCTGTCCTGAGATTCGAGACAAAATCCTGATCTATCTCAACTGTCAGAAGTCAAAATTTCCCTACTGCTGCTCCATCTTGCAAACACTAGGATGCAGCTGGGCCCGGATCATGTATAAGGTAGTCGAGCTGATGTCCACTGCGAAGCTTACTCGATATGAGCCTTACATACCTATACCACGATGTAGTCACCGTGTTCTATAAGTCGTCTTCATTGTCTACGAAAGCATGGTTCTGTCCCGAACGCAATGAATCTTCGACTTCCTGAGCCTCTACCGAGATTTGGCAGCGTCTACTTCTTTTAATTGCGCTCATACAACTAGGGTATTCATAATTTCATACTTGCTACCTCTCCAGCATTTCTAAGACCTCATAAATCTTGATTGATATCCACGAATCCCAGTGCTTCTTTTCCACAGTGCTTCAGAGCCAGATTAGTGTCTTTTCTGAGCGTGGCCACCCATCTTCGGAAGTAATACTGCACTGCAGCAACCTTCGAAGTCTACATCGACATGTGACCGGAAATCTTTTCGTCCAGAGCAGCCCACATGTGCGCAACTCCGAACTTTCTTGCCCTTGCAAAAATCTTACCATGTTCGTGCTTTGTTCTGGTCAAGAGTTCTCCGTCGGTACGGTTATCGAACTTTGAAAACAGTGTGACTAGAAAGAAATCAACCACGTTGTTCTCCTTTGAGAGCATTTAGTCCCCACTTCAATAAGTGGGTGAGGGTTTCGTTGGTCTCGTCGATTGATCTTCTGTGTTCCACGTCAAAGAAATGGGGAAATCACATGCATGGTTGGCTGGAAGAAAGCCAAGCAAAAACCCTGTGCTTGAGTGAAAAGTTTTGGCTGTTCAGGGTCAAAGAGATGAAAGAAGTTTGCTTTCAGTCAACAGGGATGAAAATCGTTGTTTCTTCAGAAGATATCCGGTGTTCGTATTCAATGAAATAGCGACCATTGAACAAAGATCCTAGGATCATGCCGTCATATTGGAATAGGCTGAGCGACAAGTACAAATTGAAGCTTGACCGCGCTCATCACAAAGACAAGCTTCGACAACCTCTGCACTGATTCTTTTACCATCCTTTCCTCAACATCGCTTTCTTTCATCCTCGCCCCTATTACTTTCTCAAATCAAACATGGCCTCGACAACGCTAGAGGAAGATCCTGAGCGTTATTATCCAGTCGTGAGTGGCCTAAGTTCTTCATCCACATCGACTTGCTTTCTAATGCCAATCTTCAGCTTGACCTTGCATGTGGAACACTCTACGTCTCCGTTAAAAGTCATTACTCGGCCAAGTTTGTGGACGTGTTCAGGCAGATTCTGGAAGTAGGCATTGTCTCCTCCACTGATCATATTGAGGATGTGGAAGAGCAGGAAAGGAAAGTCGGCAAGATTATCAAGAACAGTAAGGTCGATAGAAAGGACTTCTTCGTGACTATCAAAGTCCACGCTCCGCTGCGGAACGCGTCTCGGTCAAAGCGCTTCACCTTTCAAAAGCTGTGAGATGGCACTGATTTTCTACCAATGACTACGTTATGTGTAATCGCTATGTCACATGATCTATGCTAACATCTGCGCTAGGAGATCCGAGGCTGACACTACCATGAAAAAGACCTTGGAGAGACTGCAACTCGACTATGTGGACCTGTAAGATGGCTGTCTCATTAGACCAGTCGCCTTGAATGGTTGCAACTTGAAAGCAAGAAGTATGCTAATATTTCTTCTAGCATTCTTCTGCATGATGCTCACGCTGTCATCAAAGACCAAGCATTCAAGGAAGCCTGGGAGATTTTGGGGCGTTTTACGAAAGAGATCGATGAGAAAACGAAAAGCACCCGGTGCAGGTTTAGAGGACTCTCAAACTTTGACAAGAGCAACTTTGGGATAGGAAACTCAGAAGTTGCCATCGAAACCACGTCACTTCGTAGCGGCGATTTCCCGGACTTTCGCCACTATCAGGAGGGAAAAGATAGCAAGGCCTATCATGACTGGATCCAAAGTGGTAGTGAGCTGGAACTCGGAGACGAAGAGACGCGAAGGGGGCTTCGTAATATATTCAACCACCGGGCGAAGTATTTGCATAAGGTGTTTAGAGATCACTCGATCTCTGAAAAACCCCGCTTCATGTTCTTGGACCCTCTGCCGTTTCATAGCAGGAGTGTTTCGATGTACGACTTCCTGGGAATGTTGGGTTCGGGTTTTGGTGCAACACCAAGTGACGTCCTGGGAAAGTGGGCTTCTATCACACCACAAATCCGTTCTTCTGGTGTAGTGGGAGAACTAAAAAATGAATTCCACATGTCGGAATTTGACCGCGGGCGAATCGACTTTTCATTCAACTCGACGTTCAGGATCTCGGTAACGGCGCAAACACCCGAAAATCATCAATAGACAACCAATAGAGAGATGATTAATGAGGGGGCAACATCACTCGGTTGGAAATGTGTCCCCGTTACGGAGGCCATATAAGAGAGAAACTTGACTTAAGTTTCCTCTCGATCAGTAAAGCATTATTAAAAATATATCTAAATGCATATTTTCTCAGTACACAGACAATATACCCCTTGATCTACCTTAGTTCCGATACCTGGATGTTGACATCTGGTACATATCGCTTTACTGTTCAGCTGCAACGATATAGTTTTGGCAAGTTAGTTTGACTCTATGAGGAGATTCTCAAACCTGTTAATTTCCGACAGTTGGCTGACTAGATCCAGTGGGGTGACATCTGATATGACGTCAAGAAGCTTTCCCTGAGCGGAGATCGTGTTGAAAGCTTTTGCCAAGTTTCGACTGAAACAGTTCAGAGAAATAAGAGAAGGCTTCCTACGTGATATGAGAAAGCCGAAAGTAACATTTGAGGATTAGTGCTACCAGGAAGATGGTCAAGCTATCGAAAATTGATTCAAGCCATTTCATTCGCATCAAGACATTGAGGTAGGGTAGTGGATCGTCGTCAAACTTCGTGGAAGCTTCAGCTTCCCCTGATTCGACATATTTACAGCTGATGGGAATACTCAGTCAAATATGCGCATAAAACTCATACACCTGCTTCCGAGGCCACCTCACAGCCTCCAACAACACAGGATGTCCCGCCAACTGCGCATCAACCATAGCAAACAACCTCTTCGACCACCCCCGAAGGAACCAAAACGTCGGCTCGAGCACACACAAGAACACGGAAAAGTACGCCAGCAGGACCAGGCTGTACGGGTTCAGGGCGTGTATGTCGGCCATGATGTTCTCCGAGATGACGTACGGCCAGAAGAGAATCATGCCGACCTCGAGGTTGGCGCCGGCATGCGCCATGAGGTAGACTGCTTTTTCGAGCTCGCGCACGGCTGTCACGTACTCTTCGCGCGCGCTGTCATGGAGGTTTTCTGTGTAAAAGTCTAAGAGGCCTTGGATTGCTTCGAAGACGTCGGGTGGGAGTGGGGAGTTATGGAGGGGTGGGAGCCTGTTTAGTCTGTCAGTGTTGGGAATAAGAATTTCTTGATGGCCGGTGTCGACGCACTTATATGATGGATCACTCGGATCGATGGTCCATATTCCTGTCGCCATTGGCGCAAATTCCGTCCTTACAATTTTTGTCTGATATGGTTCGAGGATCGCACGAATCCCTCGCACAAAGATGAAGACACCCATGATATCCGGCTCGGAGTCGAGGTCCTGCCCCATCCGCACGGGCAACGAAGCGACGTAGAAGACGACAAGCGACGCGAAGCAGAAGAATGGCTTCCAGTTTGTGTCGTTAACGGTGTGAAGCTGCGTTCGGAAGCCCTCGAGGCCTGCAGTCTGATGTGACGTCGCGAGGTCGAGGTACTTGTCCCGCGCCGAGGGTATCAGATACGCCTTGTGCAGCGCCGCGATTGTGAGGATGCCGTGCATGACAAACGGGCAATCGTAGCCGATCTCGGGCATGGTAACGCGCCAGACGTGTTGCATGTCCGGGCGGACGGAGAGGCTGTTTGCGGTGACGAGCGTGAAGTGGTGCATCAACTCCAGGCCGTGGCCCCAGTGTCCGATGGACGGAGCGGGAGAATGGAGCCTGTCATGGTCGATGGCGGCGTCTAGGAAGTTGTATGGTGCTTCTGGGCTGAGGCCGTTGACAGATGGTGTTGTTGTTGATCTTTGGGGGGTGATGTTTGCTGGTGAGGTCTGTGATGTTGAGAGACTGCATGGGATGCCGTGTCTTGAGCAGTTGAAGCAGGACGGGTATGCTTCATCGCACTGGGTAAGTTCAAGCTATCAGCAAACGGACCACAGATGAAGGGACGTCCTTATCTGATTGGAGGCTAGGTTGATTGGGTCCAAATCTAAACCCCTTACCGCGTGTTCGGTACGCGGCAGCCAAGTTAGGGTAGGTAGATGAGGGAGGGAGGGCTGTCAGTGTGTCACCTACCTTGACTTTCCTCCGCTTACAGTCCCTACAGCCAGTGCGGGACTTGGTATGGGAACGACGGGTTGCCATTGGATCGGAAGATTGGGCAACGGACGAGGGATGGCCGTTCCGTCTCAGATCCTATAATGATGCAAGAAAATTTCCGCGTGTAAGGTGACAATACCTTAGGTCTTTGTGATGGGTGGGTGTACGAGGGTGCGAGCGGATCTCACGCCTACAGAAGTTTGCTCAGACTGGAACCGGCTACATAAAACGCAGACAGCACCTCAGTCAAATCAAGCGTGCAGAAGGGAGAGACAGGAGAGAGTACGAACACGCGGGTTTTGGCCATAGAGAATAAGAATAAAGAAGGTTGATGGAAGATTGTGGACACGGGGTAATCCGCCAGCCGACGGCTTTACAGTTGTCAGTCAGAGTTCGATGTGGTTGCGAAGTAGAGATGCGGGAATACGAAGCGAGCAATGCGAATACTCGCAATTGCGGAGCCCCGCTCCTTAGTAAAGTGGATCTTCCGGCGCTTGACATGCACGGCCCACCGTTCCCGGGTGCCCAAAAGCGTCCGGATCCCGGCGTCTTTCGTCAGCCCCTGCGCCCGGTAGGGACGCCAAGTCGTACTGGGACAATCGTGATTGGTCCCGTACTCAATACGTCTTTGTACGGCCGGGTCAAGCCCACTGTCCAAATTTCTTCGAGAATTCCTTACAGCAGATTTGACTGAGGAGAGACAAACGCTCGGGACGCAGAGAGGGGCGCAGTGATACTCGCATCCCAGGCAGACAGAATACAGAAGCACTACTGGCCGGTAGACCCTAAGATTGGCGAACGGTGCGCCAAGGGTCCTTCTAACTTGCCGTTTGTGAGCTGTACTAGTATCTTTTGCGTGGCTGAGTCTAAGGGGGTGGAATACGATTGAACCGATTTGTTTATTGGATGAACCACACAACGTGGACCATTGCCGTCCTAACGCGAAAAGCACATAAGCATAATCCATTTCGCTGCCTTGAACCTTGAGATAGTCCCATCATCATACCTTCTTTACCTAGAACGACACTCAGCGAGCGGAACAGCCTGCATCGAAGTCCCAGGAACGCTCCTTTCGATTTCATCTGGATCTTCCTCGACCCTCTTTTCCTTGAACGGCCAGCTGCTGTACTTCTATCGATCCATAGTCAACAATCGAAAGGCTCCTCTCCATCTCGTTCTCGTAAAGTGCCACGATCGCAAACATGGCACGAGGCTGTACCCCCGACTATGTCAACGCCGAATGGTCGTTCTACCGTTTCGAGCCTTCCACAGCAGCGGCGGTGTTCTTCTGCGTCGTCTTTGTTCTCACTACTGGTCTTCACATCTTCCAACTCATCAGAACCAAGACATGGTACATGACGGCCTTCGTCATCGGTGGACTGTGTAAGTGCTCTGAAGAGAACATCATGTCCGTCCCTTGCCTATGGCCTGATCATGAGCTTACACCATTCTCCGCACAGGTGAAGTGGTTGGATACGCTGCAAGAGCGCAAAACACGACACAAGAGCCCGGATGCTGGACTCTCGGCCCCTACATCATCCAGAATGTCCTTCTCCTCATCGCTCCGGCCCTCATGGCAGCCTCCATCTACATGATCCTAGGTCGCATCATCATGTTGACCGACGGAGAGAGCCATGCCTTGATCAAGAGACGCTTTCTGACCAAGGTCTTCGTTTCTGGAGACGTCCTTTCGCTCCTGATGCAGTCCAGTGGTATGTGCATTTGCCCTTTTTGGCCAACCTGTAGTAGTCGGCCATCACTAACGCGCGTGGTACAGGTGGTGGTATGATGGCGTCCGGCGCAAGCATGATGGATATTGGCGAGAAGGTCATCATCGTCGGCCTATTCATTCAGCTCGCCGTCTTTGGCTTCTTCATCGTCGTGGCCGCCCTCTTCCACCGCAGGATGTTGCTTGTTCCGACCGCAAAGTCTCACCAGCCCGAGATCCGCTGGCGCTACTACCTCCTGACGCTCTACGTCACCAGCGTTCTGATCTGGGTGCGTAGTGTCTTCAGGGTCATCGAGTACCTGGAGGGCAACAAGGGCCACCTGATGACCAACGAAGCGTACGTCTACGTCTTTGACGCGACGCTCATGTTCCTCGTCATGGTGTGGATGAACTGGTTCCACCCGAGCGAGATCGGTCTCTTGCTTCGCGGCGAGCCACCCATCAAGAACGGACTCGAGCTCGTGATGATGAACAGAAAATTTGGAAAGATCCAGAACGAGAACAGCAGCATGAGCGCTTAGGGAATCGATCGAGAAGAAGCTCTCAGGACTTGGGGCCGGGTACTTGGTAGGCGCGGGGGAAGGCGCTTGATTTCAGAGAGCCTCTCAGGATAGACTGCATCTGTAGATTCAGTTAGTACGTTTCTGGGATGGCCCAGGCCATGCCCATTGTTTGAAGCATTTCATTTGTTGGGAATAGAGGTTGTTTGGAAACGGCCGATGGGACTCCCGCGATGGAAAACGCGATCGAGAATGCAGCAGGATAACAGCAGCCGTACATTTGCGGTTAATATCGATTCTAGATGGAGAGCGTGTCTCATTCTTGGGTTAAGCGTTGCATGTGAAGATTCAGACATTCTAGAGCCATGATGACGAGGTTGACAAAGTTGATGTTCTTGGTAGGTAGGTAATGCGAAAGAACGCCTAACGCAATGGAAGAAGTCCAGGGGCTCGGGGTGTCTTATCGTTATCAGAGCTTAAAGCTGATAAGATAAGATACGCGAGGCGAACGCACAGGTCAGTGACCTTCCACGGCGGGGCGGACGATCTGCAGGAAGGGCGCCCGGAGCCGAATAAAGGCATGATCGGCGGTATCAACCCCGCATAAGCTTGCTGATACGTTGGAGCTCCAGCGGGCCTCAAGGTGCGGCTGCCGCCTACCTCAGCAATCAACCTCTCCTGTCGAGTCACCCAAGGTGCCAACCTGAGGTAACTACGGAGTAAGGTCATCTTTCTAACCGCTTCATTCCCTCTCGCCTGGACGCAGAAACGATTGAGGGCGTTTGTCATCTTACAGCATCAACAGCAGCGCAATAACCATCAACCTGAGGCCCGACGACTGCCTTATCTGCCCTGCCTTTCGCAAGCCGCCGGCATCAGGCTACACCTACCTGAGGCTCTATCCGGCAGCCCCATCCGCGTCACCTCCACGTCTCGCATCGTCTCACCGGCATTAGTAACAGTATTCTGCTTCCGTCAACCTCTCTTTTTTACGAACACGACATAGCTTGTATGCATGCGCACCGTCTCAATACTCTTGTCGTCAAGTATTAGGTAGTTAAAGTGCCACTTCCCTCAATGTCTCATCTCGCCGTCCTGTTTATCAGTTGCTAACATTCTGAAGCACATTTTGTAGCTGACCGATACCATTACTCTCTACGTTCGATTCGCTAGCAAGACAAGCCGATCCTGATACGATCCCGAATACATGATGGCCGGACCCCAAAGCCCAGCCAAGCAGGGGTTGGAAGAGTGGGAGGAGATTGCCGACGACTACTCTGTCGTGTCACTCTCATCCGATGACGAGGACGGTAGTGCCCCTCTCGCAACGACGACCACAGCCAACAAGCCATCTTCGACTGTTGGAACGCTAAAGAATGCCGCTGCCGGTCCTTTGGCGACTGAAGACGCGAGCTCCTCTCGCCTGACTTCTGCCAAGCAAGCCTCTAGTTCAACAGCAGCAGCAAGCAGCGATCAGCCACCAAGGCGAGACCTCCTAGATTTACTTGGGAACTCCCTCCTACCCAATGAGGCCATTCAGCCAATCTGGAATTCATACCAGACTAAGCAGCAAACTCCAACGCCGCCACTGAAACCAAGCAACGGCAAGGAAATCGAGGGGTTGAATCGAGATATCGGCCGCCTAACAATGGGCAACGAGGACGCCGACGAGGTTGACTCATCGAGTAAACCAGAAGGCACCTTGGGCGAAACCCTGGACTTGGACGACTCCTCGATGAATCCTACCATCATCAGCCAGAAGCTAGAGTCTCTTGGCGAATACCTCCTTGACACATTCAATCGGACCAGCAAGGAGTTGACTGGCTTTGACAAGGCGCCGGCTATCGCCAACAGTTGTCAAGCTCTCATGGCGAACATCAATGATCTTCGTCCCATACTCGCTGATTATGCATCTCAGTGGGACGCGAATGTTGAGAAGGAAATCCCGCTCGATCCCAGTGTCACGCTCTGGATGGATTCTTTGCGTACTGTTCTTGCAAGGCTTCGGAGAAAAGCCAGAGCCTGGCCGCAGCATCCGGCAAGCGAAGAGGCAAGGATCCGTGCGAGCTTGAACAAGTATGCTGCTGCACTGGACAAGCAGGACAAGCAGATGCAAGAGTTTCTGCCCATTATACAAGCGTAAGTCATCGTCTCCCAGCATCGTCGTCCTCGTCACTAACTGTTATCAAGCGACTTCAACACCTACCGGACACAGGACATGCAATTTCCGGTAGAAAACACGGAAGATTCCGCCAACAGCCCTGCACGTTCAGGCCGTATACCGACACGTCCCACGTCTCGTCTTGCCCAAGTTCGAGACGCCCTGTACGCACTCAAGGACCAAGTTCAAAATACGATTCATGTCCTCGCTATCAGCCACCACTTCCTTCCCCAGACTGCCTCGGAGACTGCTGTAGCTGTTGTTCAGTGCCTGAGGTCTACTGTCAACGCCGCGTCCCTCGCCCTGACCAACAACGGCTCGGAATGGCTCGAGAGTGACTCTGGTAGAGCTCATATTGGGTTGCTGTCCCATGCCGAGTTCAGCAATCTGGACCCCGCGATGCTGCAGGACTACGCAGCGCGACTGAAGCAGATCTGCGACCTCGTATCCGACCCGAATAGTCATCAGCGTTGGACTGAGGAGATGATTAAGGACCATTATATCTACATGTTGGTTGAACAAGAGCAACTTGATGCTCTCCATAACATCGCCTCTGCACTCGAGGAGATGTTGCTACCACAACACATGAAGACCAAGACCGAGTTTGATGATTTCTTGAAGGAGATGTAATGATTTCGCAACAGGAGACAACAGA